TGTGTTAAAGGCATGTCGATTAACACGTCTCGAGGTGTTTGATGTTCACTCTTTAATAATAAATAATATTATATGTATAATAAGTATTACATTGAAACGCATAGGTTTATCTCAGGAACTAAGTATTTGCAGGGTAAACCGCATACAAATTGCGACGTTTTGTATCGATTTATACATTAGTATTGCGACAAAAATTAAACAATTATTTCCTTCCACACTATATTTTCTTCTGTTCTTCTATTCAAGTCCGTTTGACAGGCGATTGAGATTTATTTCGATACTCTGCGAATACTGTAGTTAATTCTATTGAGATTAGGGACCATTTCGTTGTTGTACATATTCGTCGTAATCTCGAGATCATCTCTTTTTCTTGTGCGGCTTCTTCTTTGCTCGTCTATGATTTACGTTGCGTCAATCGAAGTATAAATGTATAATTGAAAAATTAGAATATTATATATGAAACAATTTTCCTTCTACTACTTTTTTTTTTTCTTCTTCTTCGTTTTAATTATAGACAAGTTAGATTCATGTATGATACGTATAGGCATTATATCAACATTATTTATACCGTATCCTATCATTTCGTTATGTCATTCATTCTAGGATTTCTTTGTTCATGTAACGCGAACATTCGAGATTTTTATACGTCTAGGTGAATGTACATAAAAGTTTCGACAGTTGAGGGTGATCGATTTAGATATAAAACCGATGAAAAGTTTTCTTATGAAGGAAATATCGACAATCTACATGGCTTTCCGTTAATCAAGAATATTATTTATTCTGCTGTTCGTGATGAGGAATTATTCTATCTGTAAATATTTCATTCCGATGTAAGAATCAATCTCAATTCGATGGCCGAATTGAATTGCACTATACATTTGATATCCGAGGAAAAAGGAAGAAAGTTATTTATAATGTTAACGATTAATAGCTTTCTTTGTAGCCTTTATCACCTGCCGATTTTAGATTTGTCAAGTGTGACAAAGATCTTGTATAACAGAGAGTGCTATATTTGTAATATTATTTCGAATAACTTTCCCTGAAATTATCATTCATTATCGTTTAACGAGAAGATTTATGTATTCTTCTTTCGCTTTCTTAACCTGTTTAACTCTACTCATTCGTTAGTTTTAATCTCCATTTGATGTTTTAAAATTTCATTAACGAAATAGTATTTTATCAAGTGTAACAACTGTAGTTTCTTTTATGTAAAATAAACTTTTCTCTTAATTAAAAAGAAACTTCAAACTTCAAACTTCAAACTTCACGTGCTACGAACATATTACAAACCTAGCTACTATTTCAATGTTGTATTTGAAAGAATACTTTGTTATGGTTAATCGAACTATATAATATTCTCGCAGTTTAATTTGCTAGTCTAATAATTGTTTGGAAAAAAAGAAAACTGAACCTAAAGCAGTAATGCAATCGTGAAAAAGAGCTCGCATAATATGCAGAGAAGTGCCTCATAACATATACCTACATTTTACATTTAATCGACAGTTTAAGAAAGCCCACTATAACACGATCTACTTTGAAACTTTCGTTCGTTTTGTTTGCTTATCACTGTATTAATTACGGTTCGGTTGTACTCATGACATCATTGTGTGATTTATTTACAACAATTCCAGTGTTCCTATTTTTTTTTTTTTTTTTTTT